ACATATTCTCTGACCAGTAGGATTTATTATTGCACACATTCATTGATATATATATATATAAATATATATATAAATATATATATATATATATATATATATATATATATATATATTCTGATGCATATAGGCTTTTATAGTGTGTTATTATGCCTGAAGTGAACGTGGAGTGGAGGATCCCTCCAAGGACCCCTAGTTTGCTCAGATTATCATCCCACCCCGCGTTATGAGGATTACCATTTCAGGTAAAATAGCTGATGGTGCTGAGGCATCACACAAAAAGAGGCCGAAGGAGAGATACTATCTGACCTGATAGTCATATTTTGTTTGACATTTCATTTTGTACATGACATGATGTTATTCTTTTGAAATGTACATTGTAAGAACCCGCATCGTTAAATAATTAATTAAATAAGATTATCGATGCCGGAGCATGGATTTGATAAAAATTATGCATAATTATGATAATATAATTATTTAGAAAGTCAAATAACGCTTAAAGTCACTTTTCTGTTGAAAAGTGCTGATACCAATTTTGCTTCATGGTATAACTGTGTACCGGTAAAGTGTTCTGAACAATTGTAAAAAAAATATAAATATTCCTAGAAAAATATCTAGGTCAAGGATATCAAGTTTGGAGTAAGAATAATGAGCGGTGATGTCAGAACTAATACCAGCTACGTATAAAATACGTACCGACAAAGTGCTGCGAAAATTATAAGAAAAATATGATAATTCTTAGAAAAATGTCTAGATTAAGTATATGAAATTTCAGAGTTAAACGAAGATCGAAACTAATTAAACTAATACTGTTGGTTTAAGTGTGTGCTCTTACAAATAGCTAAGTGGCACACAACCCTAGGGCATTTTCTGAAACCCATATTGCTGCACTCTCATTTCCTCTCACGGCAGAAAATATTCTTCTCATCTAGGATTTCATTGTTCTTCAAGAAACAAACCAAAGTCTCACCTTTCTTCACCACATAAACATCCCACCATTGTAGACTCCTGAAAGCCATCATCTTGAGGGAGAAAAACCTCTTCTTGGAATGTCATGGATTCTGTTTTGGAGAGGGTGAAGGATGCCTCCCCTTGTTTTGTTGGTTTGAGTCACTTACACACACATTGGACCATCAAATAGCTCTTTTTGTAGTGAAAGAACCCATTTCCAACATATCATTTTTGTGCTTGTGGTGAGACAGAGCTGAAGAGTGGCTCAAGAACATCAAAGTCCCTTCCTTTTTCTGTTTTTGAAGCTATGGGTACATACCTCAACACTTGCCTTTGTATTTTCATGAAAATAATATTGATTTGGAGATGTAAAATTATGAATTTTGACAACTTGAACGTTGGCTGATGAACCTAAGTGTTAAAATGCATGCTAAGTCGATGGGATAGATGTATCTAGGTGAAAGATGGTATTTTAATGGATAATTTCGTGCTAAGCTGCTGTTTTTGGCCACTGTCGCGAAATATCCGGATATGGCATATCCGGATATAATATTCGGATATGTAGACAACAACGAACCTATTTTAGTACAAATTTGATATCTAAATCTACAAAGCTCCAAATCGAGTACGGTTTGGACCTATATGTAGCTAACGCATAGAGATATAACTCTGTGAAATTTCGTAGTCATTGGATAAGTGGTTTTGTCTCAATGTTAGTTTGAAGTCGCATCTTGGTTGCTAGAAATTCAGTTTGCACCAGTCACTTTGCAAAAATCATAACCAGAGTTATACAACTCCGATTGAGACATAAAATATGTCTTTGGAAAGATTGTGATGCCTAGTTTAACATAGTAAAATCTTAGAGCCTTTGATAGAGATATGCAACATTGGTTATAAAAATGGTAAAGGTAGTGTACTGCCAAATCGGGCAATGGAACCCATTTCTTTGAATTATTCTTCAATAGAAGGACTCGTGAACCCTTATTAATGATTTAAAACCTTAAGTAAGTCAGTGTGGACATTGGTAAAATTTGGATTAAGTCATAATTTAAGTATCCCACACTTGTGGCTTTGAAAGAAGCATTAAGCGTAAGAAACGAAAAAGAAATAGAGTCCCTTTAGACATGATGTGTTTGTATATATTTATTGATGCAATGTACCTTGTTAAAATAGGTTCTAATATAATTGGATACTGCATTGGTGACCTCTCAGACACCTAGTTATTATTAGAGGACTTGGTTGTGACATGTAAGCTTTTGGTCCTCGGATTGATCTATTGCTTGTTCCACTGACCTCCATGAAAGGGTGGTTTATATGCATGGTATGCTTCTATGAAAATGATATATGCATTGATATATGCTTGAGATATGTGGATATACCTGTTGATGTAATGTATGGATGTGATGTTGGGTACTTACACGATCAGGCAGCAACCCTGGTGTGTAATATACTTGGTGGTGTAATGTATGGATGTGATGTTAGTACTTGTACGATCAGGCAGCAACCATGGTGTGTAAGGCTTGAGGCAACATCCCTAATGTTTGGTAAGTAGCAGACGTGCATAAACCCTATCTTGTTCCCTGGCCAGTTGAACCGCACTTGCATACATCTCATGAGATATGAACTGTGGTACATGAGTTTCTGAGTATTTGGATAGATTGTCATAATTATATTGCCCTAACATGAACATGCATTGTATTTATTGCTTTTGGACTTATTATATACTTGTAAGTGAGCTTGGGGAGAAAGAGTCTTTGAGGACCCCTTGTCTTACTGAGATTTCTTGTTAGAAATCTTATCCCGTGCGGGGCATATTTTTTAGGTACTGAGATTGTTGATGTTGGTGCATCTCGAGGCAAAAGGCCAGAGTCGAGTTGGTGGAATGATATGCATGCATTATGTTTATGAGATAAGCTGAGGCATGCTTAATATTGACAGTATTTATTATGCGCATTTGATGTGAGCATAGGCATTGTCTATGCCATATTGTAATATGCTTGATGTATTGTTGTTGGGGATTATGTATTAATCATGTTGGTCCTTATTTTTGTAATATGATTTGTATGTGAGATGGCTTAATTAAATGATTGTTAGGTGTCACCGTTCATGCATGTAATAGTTGTTTAAACACCATGAAATATGACAACTTAGATGCTTATAAAGATATGAAATAGCTTAATTAAACCGATTATGTGATGGTATGTCTTAGGTAAGGACAACTAAGCATAAGATGAAGTAATATGGGGCAAGGGGGTTGAATGCTAAACCCCATCCTGTAGAGAAAGATATTCCATTTATCCACTGTCATGGAATATCCGGATATTGGTGATCTAATATCCGGATATGTCCCTGACAAATATCCGGATATTCTGCGAACAGAAGTAAAAATAAACGTTTAAAAAGAAAGGCTTGTGACCTTATGGAACTTAAATATGTAAGGCTTAAATCCACTTCTAAGGAGTGTGGTGCCTTAATAAATGTTAAAGAAAAGGCAAGTAGCAATAATAAAGTAATTAGTGGATAACTTTGATATCAATCGACATTACAAGTAAATAATTGACGATGATTAGGATAATAGGTAAGAGTAAGATTAATCATGCAAATTGTAACACGTAGGATAAAGGAAAAAAGTTTATCCAAATTTCACTTTGTAATTCTAACGTTGATTCCGCTGCAAGTTATTAATATTAAGCTGCGCTTAATACCATTTTGATATTAACAAACCGGATATACACAGGGTGTTACATACATGCCATGTATTCTTTTGATGAGTATAGGGGATGTCTTTGCCATGTTGATAGTTGTATATGTGTTGTTACTGATGTACACTCAGGTCTATGTTACTTATTTTTTTTTTTTTTTTTGATAACACTATGTTACTTATTTAATTGCTTCTCTTTTGTGAGTTTGATATAATTATCTAAGTAACATCATGGACATTATTGGAGACTTGTATGTATGGGATAACCTATGCCATGGATAGCTGAGTAATATGATTTATGCTTGGATTATATTAAACTGTCAATCATGTTGAAATTTTCATGGTGAGAATTATCCCCAGTGGTCCGAAATACAGACAAAATGTTGCACGTTTTATTTTGACCAAAGAAGTGATGAAAATTGTAATACATAAGGAAAAATAAAAAGTTGAACAGTTAGCTTCCGCATTTAATTTATGAAGTATGATGTGCTTGTTATCATATAAATATTAATTAACCGACTGGAGACGAGGTATTACATATAAAATGAATATAATATAGTTTCTCAAGTTATATGAAATAATTTTATCTCATACGCATAAAATAATGGGTGAGACTCACTTGTTTTTTTTCGCTCTTTTTTTTAGTAGATCTCACACACTTTTATGTACGTGCCTAAGATAAAATTATCTCATACCTATATTCCCAAAAATCAATTACCCACGCAAATCAGAAGCACCCCATTCTTTTTCTTTAATACAACATTATTAGAGATTTTTTAATTTTTAAAATCATGCAATGATTCATTTTCTAGAGGAACCATTAAAGTCAATAAATGATTCTTCCTTTTTCCATTCTTGTTACTTTTAAGTCTTCAGACGGCATTGACTTATATGTTAAAAATATCCATTTCCACTTAAACATAGAAAAGTCATGAATCTCGCCACTTCCCCTTTGTATTCGCAATTGTTTTCCGGCATTTGCTTGTGGTCACATAATCAATTAAATACAAGCAGGGCAACAGAAAATTCCACCCATTATTAATATTATACATATCTTTATGTTATTTAACTTGGTGTAGTATACCAACTTGTGCTTTGGTCCAAATTGACGAGACGTATAAAAAGAATTGGCATAATTTATTTATGAAGCTCAATTTATATTGATACTTTGATAATGATGTTGCACAAACTTATCGATATCTGTGCTTTGTTTTTCAACTCTAATACGCAAGATACCAAACATAAAACAAATTAAACTCAGTTATACTTTCAGGGCCATTTCCAAATAGCTAGTTCTATTATTCCAAGTGAATAACCGAGTTCTACCACAATGACTAACTTATTGTGTTTCTTCATTGCTTTCTGCTTTAAGCAGCATTAGTACTATTTATAGATATAGCCGAACAATAGAGTTCTCCAGAATATAAATTCAATGGATGTTCTTTCTTTATTGATCATTGTTGCATATATACTTATCCCTTCTCTCAAATTTTCCATAGCAGTTGATACCATTCTTCTATCCCAGTCCATCAGTGATGGCATCACCTTGGTTTCCCAAGGTGGAAAATTTGAACTTGGTTTCTTCAGCCCTGAGAATTCCAACAAACGTTATCTGGGAATTTGGTACAAGAATATCCAAATTCAGACGGTTGTTTGGGTTGCAAACGGGGTCAACGCCATCAATGATTCCTCTGGAATCTTAACACTGAACAGCACTTGCAACCTTGTCCTTAGACAACATGACGAGGTTGTTTGGTACACAACATCTGAAAAACAAGCACAGAATCCAGTGGCACAGCTTCTAGATTCAGGGAATCTCGTGGTAAGAGACAAGAGTGAAGAAAACCCTAAAGCCTATTTGTGGCAAAGCTTTGATTACCCATCTGATACAGCACTGCCAGGGATGAAGTTGGGATGGAACCTCAGAATTGGTCTGAATTGGAGAATGACATCTTGGAAGAGTCCTTATGATCCATCCCCAGGAGACTTTTATTGGGGTTCATTTCTCTATAATTATCCTGAGGTTTATCTTATGAAGGGAACAGAAAAGTATGTAAGAATTGGACCATGGAATGGCCTTTATTTTAGTGGCATACCAGATCAAAAGCCTAACCCCATTTATGATTTCATATTCATATCCAATAAGGATGAGATGTACTACATGTATAGCCTCAAGAATGTTTCTGTAATCTCAAGATTGGTAGTGAATCAAACCACTTCTATGTGTTACCGATATGTATGGATGGAAGATGAACAAATTTGGAAGGTTTATAAGTCACTTCCAAAAGACAATTGTGACTATTATCGCCTCTGTGGAGCCTACGGAACTTGCATAATTACAGGCTCCCAAATCTGCCAATGTTTAAGAGGGTTCAGTCCCAAGTCACCAGAAGCATGGAACTCATCTGATTGGACTCAAGGATGTGTCCGTAATAAACCATTAAACTGCACTGAGAAACTCAAGGATGGATTTGTGAAAGTGGAAGGTGTAAAAGTGCCAGACACTACACAGACTTTGGTGGATGAGACAATAGGTCTAGACGAATGCAGATTCAAGTGCTTGAATAACTGTTCTTGCATGGCCTATACTAATTCAGACGTAGCGGGAGCAGGTAGTGGCTGTGTCATGTGGTTTGGTGATCTAATTGATATTAGACAGTTTCAAGATGCTGGGCAGGAACTATATATTCGAATGGATGCTTCAGAATTAGGTAAGGGTAAGGTCTTTGTTATCTCAATGAACTTTATATTTATATATATATTTGGTACAAGATGTAGCCACATTTTTATTAATTTGTTTATTTGGATTTATCAAATTCAACCATGAAGAAGAACAAGATGGGCACAAGAAGGAGCTGACAATAATAGTTGCTACCACCATTGCTATAATTTCAGTGATGCTATTTGTTGGTTGTTGTCGTATCTACATTGCACGGCGCAGGATAACTGGTAAGAATACTTTTATCATCATTTTCTCTAGAAGAATGGTTGTTTTTGTTTCTTTGTTTGATTTAAGATGATTGTTAAGAATCTCACCTGGCAAGTACAACTTCCTACAAATGTTATTACTCTGTTATTTATTTAATCATGTCTGTGTTCACCTCTAAATGGAAAAAGAAGATGAATTATTTAACAGTTTGTTTACACAATCAAGTTCATTCAGGGTAAGAAAGTAGTTAACCAAACTAAATTTATTTAAGGCTGTAAATTTTCGAACATAGAAGAGTATCTTGAAGACTAGTGTGCCTTGCTATGATATTTCTCAGTCATCCTCGACATGCTTGTTAAATCAGTAGGGTAGTTGAGATAACCCATTTTTATGCTCTTTGTCATAAACTCTTAGTTAGATAAGGCTCTCTGGTTTTATTGCATAACCATTGTAATTTCTTTTGCATTGCAATAATTTATCTATCTTGGCCAAAGTAAAAACTATGATCAATTTGAGAAAAAATGCAGATTAAGTGTACTAAATGAACTACATGGGGGAATTTTGACCATTTATCCGTTTAACCTTGTAATGGTGCAAAGTATTGACTTGACTACACTAGCATATACATTATGCCTTTAACTAAAACAAAGCCATTGTTCCATTTTAGCAGAGAATTCAGATATTTTAGAACTAACGGAAGGTGATCAAAATAGAGGAGGTAGTGAGGATGATCTTGATCTCCCATTTCTCGACCTTTCAACAATAGTGACTGCCACTGATAACTTCTCAATAAAGAACAAGATTGGAGAAGGTGGTTTTGGACCTGTTTACAAGGTGATTCAATTTTGTTTAGTATATGGGAAATAGACTTACAAAAAAGTGTCTATATGATAAACAGTATCTTAATTTTCTTATACATGTTATTGTGTAGGGAAAACTAGTAACTGGACAAGAAATTGCTGTGAAGAGGCTTTCAAGAAGCTCCGGACAAGGAATGACTGAGTTCAAGAATGAAGTAAAACTGATAGCAAAACTTCAGCACCGAAATCTTGTTAAGCTTCTTGGTTGTTGCATTCAGGGACAAGACAGAATGCTGGTTTATGAATACATGACTAACCGTAGCTTGGATTGGTTGATTTTTGGTATGAATATTAGAACAATGCTTATATTTTGATGGACTAATTCAATGATTCCAATATAACTCTAGAGTTTATAAACCTGAATTTTGTAATTTAGAATTCAATTGGGTCAATAGATTTAATTCATATGAAACAGATGAATCTAAAAGCAAATTGCTAGATTGGCCAAAGCGCTTCAACATTATCTGTGGAATTGCTCGAGGTCTTCTCTATCTTCATCAAGATTCTAGATTGAGGATAATTCATAGAGACCTCAAAACAAGTAATGTTTTGCTTGATGACAAGCTAAATCCGAAAATATCAGATTTTGGCATTGCTAGAATCTTTGGAGGAGATCAGACAGAAGGCAACACAAAGCGAGTAGCTGGAACTTAGTGAGTATCTCAATACAAAGCTTTGTGTGATCTGTTTTGAGACACTTTCTTTTATAGTAATTGTTAGTTTTGATGGTATGTTGCAGTGGCTACATGGCACCAGAATATGCTGCTGATGGACTTTTCTCTATGAAATCTGATGTTTTTAGTTTTGGTATTTTGTTGCTGGAGATTATAAGTGGAAAGAGAAGTAGAGGTTTTTATCTCGAAAACCACACTCCTAACCTTGTAACTCATGTAAGTATGATAAATTTACAATTTAGATGTGTCATAGAAACTTGTGACAAGTAATTTTTCTTATTCTATGATTTCAGGCATGGAGTCTTTGGAAAGAGGGAAGGGCTTTAGAACTGATTGACTCAAACATAGAGTACTCTTGTGTTCTATCAGAGGTATTGCGTTGCATCCATGTTAGTCTCTTATGTGTTCAGCAATACCCTGAGGATAGGCCTGTAATGTCTTCTGTGGTTCTAATGTTGGGAAGTGAGAGTGAATTAGCTGAGCCAAAAGAGCCTGGTTTTTATGTAAAAAAGGATTCGGATGCAGCAACTTCTTACTCAGGTAGAAGTGAAATGATCTCAACCAATGGAATAACTATCACCTTATTAGAAGCTCGATGAAAATAGATGAAATTAAAAACAAACTACAACATTGATCATGTGAGTACATATCAGAGAAACTTTCAAATATGCACTGATTGATATGTAACAACAGAGAAGAAGATTTTTTCAGTTCTTTTATTGTTTAGGCATAGATACTGTATAAAAAGAGGTTACATAGTCAGAGATGATTGTGCTATAGGAAGTTGGTAACCACAGAGATAAAAAGAGGGAACGACAATGTTATGCTCTTATTATTTCACTAGTTACAAAATTGCTGTGTTATTAACTTTCTTAACATATCTCAATGTGTGTAAACCAAAAAGTGTGACTGCTGCATAAAAGCTTGAGGTTTACTCAGTTGAAAAAGAAGAAAGGAAACTTTGGATAACAATGTTAAGAAATTTCAATTATCTATTAATCACTTAATCAGCCACCAAAGTTGACTGTTGTTATTGTCTCTCGTTCTTTCCTAGCGTTTTGCGAGTCGCAAGTGGCAACTGGCAAGAAATCTTGCAATTTACCTTCCAGGTATGAGTTGTTGGAGTCAAAATAAATGTTATTATTAAACTCGATTCGCTTATTGACCCGGTCGAGGTACTGGGTTACTGTTTCAACGAGTGGGTCACTAGTTCAACCGCATGATCCTGTAAGTATATGTAAATCTACCATTTATATTAAAAAACTATAAATATACTTAAATACTTGTAAAAAAATATACTAATTTCAAATATTTTTATATGAAAATAATAAATTACATATCATTGTTCAACAAAAGATCAATCAAACATATAATATTTGTAATACTAGTGTTTCAGATTCAGTAAACGATATCTCTAACTATAAATCAAATCAAAATTACCCTGCATATTGCATAATCAAGATAATATTAGTGTTTTAGGTACATAATCTATATAAGTTAATAAGCTACAAATAACTCAAATATTTCAAAAGAAAACAAATCATTTGTGTTTGAGAGTAAAAAAAAAAAAAAGACATTAATTTATGAAAATACATTATTTATTTTTTTATAGACCGGACCGGGTCACCGGTTGAACAGACCGGGTCACCTGTTTTTACGAAAACCGGCCGGGTCGCACCGGGTCACACCAATTCTGTAACATGGCCGGTTCAATATGAAAATCAAACCGGTTACATGACCGATTCCCCAGTTTCCGGGTCAACCCGACCGGGTCGGTCCGATTTTTATAACATTGGTCAAAACATGCTTTAAGTTAGTGTCAGAATTATTTGTGAAAAAAATTGTTGAAAATCAACTATGCATATAATCATTTTTAAAGTAATCAGTTATGAAAAAAATTTAATTAATGTCATATTAATTTATAATTAATTTTAAGACGATTTTTTCTTGAATTTATAAAATAAACATCTTTTGTTCATTAAATAGTTGAAAAGGATATAAAATGATTGAAAAATTATTTGATTGAAGCTAAAAAATAATAAAGACTAGCAAGTATTCATTACACAGTTATTATAAAATACAGATGAAATATAAAAAATATATAAATTATAAAAAATTTAAAAAATTTGGCTTAATTGATAAAAAAAATTATTTTACTGGTATTAAAAAATAATTTAAAATAAAAAAATACAGCGTTTGAAACTTTAAGTTTTGTAGAAACTCAAAAACTGATTTGATTAATAAAATATTGTTTTACTAGTGATTTGAAAATATCTTATTATATATAATTTTGTATAAATTGAAGGAAATGGAGCATTAACTAAAAAAAGGGTTATGTATCTCTCATTTAATATGAGAAGAGAAATCTTCTCGCAAATTCAAATTTTAGGTGGAGTCAGGTCAATATTTTTTTCTCTCTTTATAACTTGTGGTGGTTGGTGACAGTGATGGTGATGGTAGCGGTGGTGGTAGTGGTAGCGATGATAGTGGTGGCAGTGACAGTGGCGTGGTGATGCTGATGGTGACGGTGGCGGCAGTGGTTGCGATGATGGTGGTGGTGGTTGATGGTGGTGGTGGTTGATGGCGGTAGTGGTGATGGTGGTGGTGACGGTGACAGTTTGTGGTGGTTGCAGCGGTGGTAGTTGTGGTGGTGGTGGCATGGTGGTAGTCATGGGTGGAGGTGGTGGTGATGGTGGCAGTGGCATCGTGGTGGTGGGGGTGGTCACAACAGCACTAGTGGTACGACGATGGCGGCGACGATGGTGGCAGTGGTCGTGTTGGGATGATAATGGTGGTAGTGATGATGGTAGAGATGGAAAGTGATTAAGAGAGATAAGTGTTTCTCATTTTGTGTCCGGAAACAAAAAAGTAGAAATTGTCTGATTCTTTTTTCTGTTCCTCAGCACAAAAATTAATCTGGTTCATCCCGGGAACAAAAAAATAAACAGGTTTTACTAAACGAGTTTTCTATCAATTTCTGTTCCCGGGAACAAAATTAAAAAAAATTGATTTTGGGAAGGTTGTCATGCTCACCCTTATGCCTGCTGCGGGGGAAGAATCATTTTCATGTAACGGGGATACATTTAACCCTAAAAGAAATTAAGGAAAGTAAAAATCTCCTTTTAAAATGAATAATTAATTAAAGAGAGAAAAAATTATTTGATTTGACAAGTAGGAAGCACAACTGTCACAAAGTAAGGAAGACACGTAGCGACGTGGGAATCAGAGCACATATAAAAGTTATCTCGGTCTAAGTACTTAAATTTGTTATTAGGAATGATCAAATTATAACTTTAAAAAACAAAAGCTAATTCAGTATGAAATAGTACTCATATTTTTATAATTCAACCAAAACATTTTTTTTAAAAAAAAATGACTTAATTTGAATAAAAACCTATTTTTTAAAATAATCAAATTCAAACATATATAGATTGAATAAAAAAAGTAACATGTAGAACAAATTAATACGACTCGAGCTATCTCTAAACTCCAAACCTTAAGGGGGTGTTTGGTTCAAGATTTTTGAGGGATTTCCTAGCTAAGTGATTCCAGCATTCATGGTTCTTCACATTTAGTAGAAGGATTTCATAAATTTACCCATCACTCTCAGTTGCCTAGCTATCAACCACTGTATGTTAAAAAGGAAGAAAACCACTATTGAGAAAGCAACTTGGAACGTGGTATTTCTTGAAAAACCTGATAAGTTAATAAAGTGATACAAAACCATGACAAGAATATCCCTCACACGTGAGCAAACAATTTTTCACAATACATCACACATCCGCCACAGCTTGCATATGTAGATCACAATCTTTATGTTCTGAAACCCAAAATGGTATGAATGAAGAAACAAACGGAAGTAAGATGAAAGAGCACAGCTACTTCAAGCCTTGCTTGATGCTAAGCGTGAGCTTTCTGGTCTTCTATAAGCTCATGGAGAAAAGAGGTTTGCTGGAAATGTTAGTAACTACTTAATTATATCCTTATATTGGCAATGCAAAACAAGATTACTGCAGATATAGGTTTGTGATGCATTTAAATTTTTAAATGCTAAATTAACTTCCTCTGCATATTTTTTATAACTTCACAGCCAAAAAAAACTTCTGCAACTATCAAGGAAGAGCTTGAAGCCATAACATCAATACTTGAACAGTAATGGCAACAAGAGGAAGAAAGAAGGGAGTTCTTAGATGTACAGTCACAGATCCAAAACATATGTGGAGAAATAGCTAGGAACGTGAACCTTATTGATGTTGCCTCCGCAGTTATAGAGTCATTTTTAAAAGGGTGTTTTTGTAATTTCAATATGTTTTTCCATCAATATTTTATCTTCAACCAAACACAGATTCAAGAATTTCACTTAATTTTTCTGGTAAAATTGTGTCCAACCAAACAACTTTTTTTAAACTTTCCTATCTAACTCACTTTTCCTGCACATCCCTGGTAATTACATTTCCCTAGTAAAATTTTTTTTTACCTGAACCAAACAACCCCTAAAAGTTATATTATGGGCTAAGCGTGGATTTTGATTGTTGAGATGGTGCTCGCACTGATTACAATGGTTGCCTAAGAGTGCTTAATCTCTTCCATGTCACAGCCAGAATTGGAAACCAAAGTAACCAAAAAGTATAATACCCCTAATTCGGTCAATTAGAAAAAGGCATGTGATTAAATATTTAATCATGTATAAATGAGTTAAATTAAGTAAAAGATCTAATTAAATAAATTAAGGTTCCTTTTTAGGTAAAAAGTACAATCAGTAAGATTTTTAGGGTAAAAATAGGTGTAGGAAAGATTACCCAGAATGCAAAAGTAAAGTTAGAAATATGACTGGAAAAATATTCTAATTCATTGGGAAAAGTTTGGTATTGGATGGAAGTGTGTAGATAGATAAGCTGTTACCCAGTTAAAGTAACTTAAATTTACACACCGTAAAATCCTTATATTTCTTTCCTCTACGCGCGTTGACCCCATCTTCTTTCTCCCTCTGCTGGTCGATGTGCAGCCATGGAAGAGGAGGGTTTGAGTTCATTTCTTTTCTTTGATTTCTCACACAAACAACCACCAAAATACAAAGTGCCATACATGAAAGTTTAAGTAAAAATAGTGGTGAATCCATTCCACCCATTATTTTGGGCTGAAAGTGCTTGTGTGAAGAGTTCTCCTCTCCTCCCATTTCGTGGCACTATTCATCCAAGTGTAAAAGTGTGGTTTTTGATTGAGCTTTGCTTGGGTCTTGTTCCTTGGACCTTGGATAAGTGATTTGAGGTAAGAAATCCTCATTCTAATGGTTTGATTTATATGATTTAAGTTTGGAATATTATGAGCATGTGTTATGGAAAATATTTGAGTTTGAAATTTGAATTGGTTGATGGATTATTGTTGTTTTAGTTGTAGTAATGTGAAATAAGTATGAATATGTGATGAAAGTTTGAAAAAAATCCCTTGTATTCCCTCCACTAGGTTCAGCCTTGGTGTGAAAAATTAGGGTTTAATGTTCAAAAAATAATTAGACACTTTGTGAAGGTTTATATGTATATATAAGTTGTGAATTGAGTGAATTAATTGAATGATGCTTAGTGGTGTCTTATGTTTTGAGGCATAAATGGATGAATTAATGTGTAAAATGAGTTTTATTACCTAATGATGATTATGATTGTATGATAAGCTTGAATTTGATGGACTAAAACATTGGAATCATGAAATTGGCATGATTTCCTTTATGTGCCTCTTAGCCGTTTACAAATGAAGTATGTTTTTAGAGTGCTTGTTTGTGTTAATGAGTACTTATACGGCCTAAGGACTAT